TAGAGCTTACCTTAGACAAGCAATGGCCAAATACACTTCTTTAAAAAAAAAAAAAAAGGAAAAAAAGAAAAAAGCAGCGCAGCCAATACTTTTTTGGCCAGCATGGATATTTTGAAGTCGACAGTGTAAGAGCAACACAAGCAATTGACTTTTAAACCATTATAACAGCTTAAAGATGGTAATAAATTAATTATATTCTATTTTATTGTATTAATACATGGATTACAGAGAGAGAAACACATCTTGACAAATCCAGGAATACCAGGAAATCCTCAAATTTGTCTCGTTTTGTCTTGTTAAAACAAGAACTGAAGGGCGAAGCAGTAGAGCCCTCTAAGGCTGATGGTGTAAGGGCTCCCCCACCAAGTCACCGACCCAGGCTGTGGCGTGTCCCTGTTAATTGCTCCGTTCTGTATCACGCAGAAATCACTGCACTCCCCACTGGAAATGCACCCCAGCGATGCCACAGCACCTGCTCCTCTTGGTTACTCCAGTGCCAGCAGGTGTTCTGGGTTGTTTCATTGGATTTTTTTGGGGGGTGGTTATCTGTTTTTCTTACCTCAGACTTTTTTCAGCAGATGCCTAGAGAAATACCTGTGATAAGAATTTATTTGTCTCAGTTTCTACCGAGTCTTATACTTTTCTTCCACTTGGAAAGCCTAGAAGTTTTGAATTGTTTTTTTTTTAAGTTGCACTAGTGACACACACTGACAGAGTTATTACAGGCCTCACGTGCCACCCCTAAAAATACCGTCCTCTTCCACAGCCCCCAAGAAAAAGGAGCCGATGAGCTGTTCGTTACCTCGTTCAGCAGATTGTATCTATTTCTCAAGCTCCTACCCCCTCTTCTGAGCAAGTAAACACTGGCATTTCTAGAAATGACATCTACAAACCTTATTCTCCTTTGCAAGTCATGTTTGTCACTTTGCCAGAAGCACACAGCTCATTTTGCCCCATTCTTTGGGTTAGATGCTTCTCAGTGCATTGGGTTCTTTCCACCCTTCTTAGAGAGACAAAAGAACAATCAGGGACCCTAATTCTCAGTAATGAGAGCATTTGCTTCTGCCAAATTCATGACAGTTGTTAAATGAACTAAAATCCGACGCTTTTCAGTAGCCCTTTTCCCAGCAGAAAGTTTGTATTTGCACTCACGACAATCAGGCCAACAGCCCTTCGTCACAGATTTTCTCATGCCCTTATTTGAAATTCAAGCCACGGATCTTTTCCTTTACATCAAATAACGTCATCACAAACTCAACAGCCCTGAAATACAAGCAAGCTGAACTGAGTGAAAAAAAAAAAGGGGTGGCAAAACTGCCAAATATAAAGCACAGGACGCCAGTGACGCCTAGGGGCTACGGAGGTGGGAGAAACTCTGACAAAGCCCGTTCCCAACAGTTCTGCAGCGTAAAGCAAGCTATTATCAGAGCGCTGACAGAAGAAACATCACGAAGGAGCATGTGAATACCTGAAGCGACATTTCATTCATACTCTTACTACACGTATAACTGCAAAAAAAAAATTTACCAGAAGAAGTAACTGCGGAACATTACCTGGCGACGCACTGCATCGGCAGCACTTCAATTAGCCCAATGTTATATATATATTAACTATCAAAACTGACATCCAAATAGTGGTACAACACCTCCTCTGCCAAGTTGCACAGACACCTGCATGACACTCAGATTCACAGTTCTGGAAACTATTCATCAATACATCTCTCCCCTGCATGTTTAGCTAAAGCAGTGAACTAGGGTGCTATTAGGCCAAAAGTGTTTTCAGATTTGACAAATGCAGAAGTGCTCGTGTATTTAGGGTCTCGTTCAGAAGACTTCAAAGGACGACGTGTTGAACAAGCATGCTTGAAAATGCACGGAGTGCACAACGCTCCAGTTCTACCCTTGGTGTGAAGGCAATTGATGTGCACAGCGAGCTGTTGCGTGGTACGGAAATGCCTTGACTTTGCAGCTCACAGAAGTGTCAAACTAGCTTGTTCTGGTTTATTTTTTTTTAAAAAAAAAACAAAGCAAAAAACAAACCACAAACCTCTCAAAACAGTCAGAGAAACAAAAAGATCTAAGGATGGCCTCATAACCCGAGTACCTCCTAAACAGGAAGGGTGGTCCAAAGCAGTGTCCCACACTCACCGAACTACCTCAACTCCTCCAAGTGAGAAAATCAAAACCTTCAAGCCTCCTCACTTGCTCAACTTGGAGTATAACATCAACAAGGAAAGCAGACCGGCTTGAGGAGTTCCAGCAATCTTCAGCAGATGCAACACTTTGCACCACAACAGAAGACAAACGGTCACTGCACAGAGCACACTCAAGGGGCGTAGTTGGAATTCTGTACCTCTGAGATCCCAGTATAAAACCACAGGAGAAAAGTTCTCCGTACTTGACGTTAAACAAAGCAAAAGGAGCACGTGTATAAACACAGAGAACCCAGGTGCACGCGCTCTTCCAGGTAGGAAATTCGTTTTCAGAACAACTAGTCAACATAAAGATCCAATCTTCCGTTTGGCCGCTAACCCCCCAGGTCGGAGAAGCTGGCAACAATTTCACTCCAGGACAGTTAAGCCACAACTAACGTCACAGCTCGCAAGCTCTTCGGTTTGAAATCCCACTTCGCACACTACCAGCAATGCACATATTTTTCGCTTCTTACGTGGAGTAGAAGGCTCAAGGAACAAAAAGGCCAACTAAAAATATATCTGTTTTATTTACCAGTTTTCTAAAAAGCAAAGTCATAAAAATTAGTCACAAGTGGCAAAACCAAAATATATTGCACAGTGTACAGAAAACATTGTTGACATGTTGACAAAGTGTCATCACAAATAAGTCATCTTACGACAGTTTGGAAAAATTACAGCTTCAGAATCTTATCTATAAATGGAGGCATGTAGATTTAAAGTTACAGGAAAATATTTTAATACCACCCTGTAAATGCAAACACTTTAAGGATGCAAGATTAAGTCCATAAGTAAGCACATCCACAAAATGCTCTAAAAATACTTTTCTCTTCCTTTCACTAAGTTATGGTTACAAGATGGTCACTGAAAAAAAATAAATGAGAATAATAATAATAATAATAATAAAAAACAGGAAAGAAAAAAAGCATGCTAAAGCAAAGAAGTTCAAAGTGGTTGAGAAGTCCCTGAAAATAATTTGGATAATTATGATGCACTCCTTTTATATAAAGCTTTCATTTTTCCCAAACCCTGGTCCAATTAAAACAATCTGTGTTTACATGTAAAAATGAAATATATTTAATATGTTGGTATAGCTGCACTGCTCCATTTATGATTAAAACATTTAATACGCCGGACTTGAACACCAACATTTTAAAATTTCTCATTCGGTTTATATTTACATATATTTAAATCTGACCTTGCTAAACTATTAAAGACAGGAATCAGATCTTGCTGGGTAGTGCCTCAAGCTACATTTAAGTTGCTATTTTTTAATCTGTGATTCTATTTTTTTCACAAGTTCACACACTTTATGTGCAGAGCCTGTCTCCAATGCAGATGTCCTCGTGACACTGTCCAGTTAGTAGCAAATTACTTTACACAAATGACTTCTTCCCCTAAGCAAGTACCAGTCGCTTCTGCATGTTTTTGGCAGTGTCAGATCTAACTTCACATCCTCTTTGCATGCAAAGAGAAATGTTTTTATAGAATGAAAATAACCTTAGATTTCAGCAAATAGAAATGCAATCCTAATAAAAAAAGGGAAATGCCTTCTGTGAAAAATATTTTAAGACAATCGAAGTTAACTGAATTTCTTCAAATGTTCTTTCACCCCAAGACCTGCAGCTGACATCTAGCAATACTGCAACTTAACATCCTTTAACTCACCCACATATTAAAGTTGCTCTGTTGTGTTCTTTTTCCACATCCAACATGTATAAACAGCACAAGAACATGAAGTATACACATTCAAGTCAATACAATCTCAGAGGCATTAAAATCAAATCCTTGACAGCAAAGGATTCCAGCCACGCGTGATTTTAGATTATGCAAATCAAATACAGTGAAAGTCAATGCTGTTCTCAAAATCACTTTTTTTTTGGTTAGAAGACAAGAAATGTCTAATCCTCTCTCGCCACATACAAGTTTGATGTTTGTTTAGCCACACAGGAAAAACCGATGGCCAACCTCCTGACAGAACAAACCAGAAATTACGGTTAAAGTTACACCAAGCTTGGAGCATATGCAGTCATCCTCTGTGGTCTCAGTTTTTAAAATCTTTAAGCAGAAAGATTTCTTGTGTATAAATTCTCACAAACGATGCTTCAAGGTAACAAACAGTTCATAGTATTGCAGCGTCCATTTAAATAAAAGGCTACAAAAAGTTGTCAGCACTCGGCTATACTTTCTGAAACATTCACAGAAGTATTTTAACCCAAGACCATCTTAGAAAATTAGTTCGACGTTTCTCTTAGACAAAAAAAAAAGGTTCCTACATTCAAAACTATAGGAGACAAACAAAGAGGATGGGATCAACTGGTATGAGAAGGGCAAGTGTGAATTGATTTGCTTGAAGGTTATTTCTTCTACTACGCTGGACCACTTCAAATATTAAGAACGATGCTAAAGAGCCACTAAGCAAAATTGCTAGAACAATTTATAATACCCAAAGGAGATTTGAAGAACCATATGTACGTAGGGGGATTTTCAGTACTCATTCACCCACTCTACAAAAAAAAGTAGGCATCGATGAAAGTTTCTGAAGTTCATAAAGAAATACTTGAGGCATGTGAGTGCAAAATAGGAGTCTTTCTTTTTTAAAGAAAAGCTATACCATCTTCAACAATGTCCTTACTGGGAAGAGATTGCCACCATTTAAAAAGAGATTCATTCACGAATGACTCATTTAGAGCAAGAAAAAACACATTTGTTTTTATGAACTGGATTAATCTCGTTGGATACAAGATTAAAACCGTTACGAATCATCACTGTACTTTTGAAGCAGCTTTGAAAATAACTGGCTCAAAGGCTATGTTTGTTCTTCACTGACTTGACTCAGGGAAACCAAGTTGTTTTCCCCACCGTCTTCAATCATTTCATTGAGGTCCATTTCGTTGATTTCTTCATCATACGACGTATAAAAACTGCTTTGTATGTTGTCCTCGCAAAAAATACATTCCTAAAAAGAAAGAAGAAAATCACAGAAACACTCAGAAGTCAAAGGAAAAGAAACAAAATAAATTCCACCACCAGTCCTGCTGCACGCCCTCGCTGGTTCCAAGGGAACACTGACATCTGCGCTGCAGCTACCAGACATATTCCACTCCTCAGCTTTCCCCTCCACGCAATTGTTTTATAACGCGTAGTAAATCAGTACAGGTAGCTGAGAACTCTACAGGAAGCCGTTATGTCATCAATCACTTATAATGGTGACACTTTACACGACACTTCCAGTCACCTTTTCCTCCATCTGATTGCTGACCCTGCAGCGATATGCTCATGTTGGCTGCAGGGCTTAAGAGAATGAAGCGACTGTAACGCTTGCACAAGCTGGATCCTACAGCATTATCCTGGCAGGAATGTTAGTGTCAGCGTTAGGATTTCGCTGCAGGTCTGTTACACTGGCTTCTGAAACACTCGGGTGCAAAGAAAGCCTCTGCATTTGGTAACCTGTGCAAAACCAGCTACAAATGATGGGAGGCAGAGAGAATGCCATCAGGTCTTGGTGTGTGAGTAAGTAAAAAACTGCAGACACAAACTGCAAGAATGCTTTGGTTTGGTTTTATCTGGTTTTGGGTTTGTTTGGTTTTTCATTTGTTTTGTGTTTTTTCAAGTCTTGAAACCACTTTAGAATCAAGGCAAGGAACGACCCTGCATAAGAATTCTGACAGAAAACCGGAACTGCATACTTGTGTTAATTCTGTACTTTCTAGAAAGCAATGGGCATAAATTCTCATGCACAAAATAAAGACTTTTATGTAGTGCAGCTCCTGGCTATGTTTGATAAAGGTTTTCAAACAGATACACAGAAATTTAGAAAGAGAAAGGAAATTCTTATAACAGCATTCACCACTCCTTTAACTTCTGCCACTAGAAAGCAGAATTATGGTAAACTAAATCAAGTCAGAAACCATGCACGGAAGTTTGAATTAATTTTTTTCTCTGCGTAATTGACCAAGTTTTCATAGCAACAGGAATGGAGAAGTTTAACACAGGCAATTAATAATTTAAGCACTGTTACACATGTAAAAGTAACTCATTTAAACTCACAGAATTAGCAACAGTTTTTGGCAGTCCACCTTGCTGGATCCATGGATGAACTTCAATAAGTTCTCTTTTTTGTTCTTCTGTAAATTTTGGCTGTAGTTTCTGCATTTGCTTTAGCTTCTGCTTATCTTCTTTTAAAACTGTTTCCAAATCTCTACAATAAAATGTATTTAGAAACTGAGCTTCAAAAGTTTCTGGGCTTTATGCCTACATAATGTTAGACGAATATTAACATTTTTAAAGACTATTTTGTTCTGGTACATTAAGCTTACTAATCTTACATTGAAAGATGTGGTTATTTCAGCAGCTTTCTGCATTTGCAGACAACTTTAACACATCTCTTCTGGCTCAGTGTCTTTTCAAATCCCACCACTGAAAATAGTTTTCTCAGAGCTATTTGGGCAGCACCACCACTGGTGAAACCACTAAGAACTCTACTTGCCACAACTTGCTGTTGTGGCAAGTTCCAAGTTCCCTTTCACTGGGAGGACAACACAAAATAAATACCAGATGCACATGTGAGATACTGAAGCAGAAGTAAGATGTTTAAGGAAGTCATCTAGAATGGATTAAACTACAGGACAGAGAGGGGGGGATTTAGAAAACACTGCTCTATTTCAGCAGCCAGAGTTATTTCTCCCCATCAATGCCCCATCTTGATTTAGAAACTTAAAAGAAAAAAAGAAAAAACAAACAAGCCCTGTCACCAAGTATTTACAAGCTGTGTACCTCTATAAAAGATGACAACAGAAAGTAAGTTTCTATTCCTGTTCCTTACAACACACCTAAGGGCAGGCTGGCTTTACGCTTCTCTTCTTGGGCATCACGCTCTGTCAGTGAGCTTAACTCATCACAATATCTGTTTTGTATCTACGAAATGCTCTTCGGCAGGCTTTGCTACTTTTACGGTCTAGTGGAATTCCCATCTGTAGCTTCAGGCTACAAAAACTGAGAAATGTCAAGGTATTTTTAAATCTAGGGGAAAACCTCTGAAGTTCTTATGAGGATTTTTTTCCCCCTCCACCATCCCTGTGCTTCTGTATTTTGAAAGCTTGTTTTCCCTCCCTTTCAGAAGACTTGTCTTTACTGGAACTTCCTATTCCTTTCAAAATACCATGCGCTCTTCCCAAGAAATATAAACAAGATTAAAAAAAGCCTGCAGACTTGTCACCCCCTCTCCTCCTAATGTGCTCTTTGCTATTGAAGCAGAGAATTGTGTTTGTGGGCTTTATTTAAATAAAGTTTTTTCTCTTAGAAACCTTATGATTTTACCTTCTACTTCCTTGTCTTATTCAAATGGGAATTTATGCAGAAGAATGAACACGTGCAAGTTAACAACCCAGGCAAAACAAAAGAAAAAAAAAAGAAAGAATGAAAAACCAGAATGTGGCATCTCAAGGACAACAGAGTCAGGGAGCACAGATTTTCCGTGCCACAGACCATCACCAGAGCTAAGTGTACTTGCCAGGATCCCCTACTCAGACCACAAGGATTTGTAAGCAAGCAGTTACGTATCACTAACCATAAAACAGCCTCCAAAAAAAATATATACGGTTAATTTCAACTCAGGTAGTTGATCTAAAAATACCGGTAAGCCTAATCAAGTAATTCTTACTGACTGAAAACTTCTTGTGCAGCATGCAAAGGATATAAAGGAAGCAAGAATTCTTCTTGACGCTGAGCTAAACATTAAAACCAATTTATATCTATTGAGACAGAGATTTGCATCTATCTTTCCTTCCATATACCCTGATCCCCCCAACATATATAGAGCCCAGGAAGGACGGTGACACTGGAATTACCGTGAAGGTATCTGGTACGTCATCATCACCGTGTCATCTGTGTTTGCCATCAAAAGCCAAATAGGATCCTGGAGGACATATTTAATGAAGTGCTCACTTTCTTCCATTTCTGCCTTCATTTTGGTTTTATGGTGATTTTCTGAGGAATCAATGCTCCCAAAATATTTGCTGGTATGACTAGTTTCGCTACTACCTGTAAAAAGGAATTTAAAGTTTCATTACAAATTGACAAGCACGTAGATTATCAGAATGCTTTCGAAAACAGAGAAAATGAGAGAGAACTGAAAATATAAATGCAATCACTGTTTTATTTATTTTTTTTAATGGAGGGAATTTCCACCCCTAATTAACCGCATTAGTATTTTTAAAAGTCAAATTCTCAAGCTAAGTCTCCAATAAATATCAATAGAAAAATTAGGTTACTTAAATGAAAAACTCTGAAATGAAACATGAAGGAATACAGTAATTTCTCTTCATTATTCTGTCATACCTACATAATACCTTAATAGCTATTAATAGCTACTTTACACACATGTGAAAAAGGTTCTATACCGTAAATTAAAAGCCCAATAGAAAAGCTTTCTTTCATATTTTGTAATAAATAAAAAAAAAAATCACGAACGAATTATGCACTGAGGATTAAAGACAAAGATCTTTATGTGAAGCACTTGATGTTCAAGCAGTGTTTGCGGTACCTCACGCTCCAAAATGCCACGAGGGCACTCGCTGCCAGCGTTACCTGTTCTGCTCCCTGACATGCCACAGCCGTTGGATCCAGACCCCAGAGACTCAGCAGCTCCAGATACACCACTCCCTGAAGAAGCTGAACCCGTGCCTGAACATGCATCTTCTTGGAGTAAAATGTCAAGCAGGACACTAGACATGGAGAGCGCATCGCTGTTTTGAGCATCCATTGGAGATTCAGCCTAGCAGTAAGAAAAGACGGGGAAAAACAGAATTAAAAAAATAAAAACCAACACAAAAAACCACCCAAAATCCACAGCGATTGTTATTAATAATTTACATTTAGTAGTAATCCATTTCACTGTATATTCTAATATGCTCACACAGTTATTCCAAGACAGACAACCACCAATAAGCTATGGGAAGACCAACTGAAGACTAAGGACATGGACTGACAGGCAGACACGTGGCTCTTAAGTAAGACTGAGATTTCAATTCTTCTTTAAAAAAAATTAAAAAAAATACATAGTTTAGTGAGTAAGGCAGGCAGGCATTTGTGATTCAGCTTCGACAGTCCCCACTGTCCCGGACAAGTCAGAATTTGACCAAGCCACTTAAGATACACTAGGAGTTGCTCCTACTATAAATCTACCTCAAAAAGACTTGCACCAACAGCCCATCACTGTTAGTACTCTCAGGTGTTCCCCGACGCAAGCTTTCTAGGCAAGGTAATTCGTTTGTTTTTAAGGGATGGAAAGAGCATTAAGTATGCTTAATTCTAACGTAAGAAAAACCTCACTGTGAGTCAGTTTGAAAGAAATCAGGGTTGACAAAACTAAGTAAAATACATAATAATGAAAAGAACTAGCTTTACCCTTAATACTTTCCTGAACAAATGCCCATATCGCCCTCATTTTACAGCAAGTGATGAGGAAATTACAAAACATCACATTTCACAGGTTTCTGAAGAACAGGAACTAACAGTTGGAGCAAATTCAAAGGAGTTTGTCAGCAAAATTGTTCCTATTAAGTTTTATTTTCCATCTCCTTTTAATCCAGCAGAGACATCTCAGAGCACGCTGGAGGTTAGAGCCCATCACAGATGCACAGTTACACCACAGCACAAGTCCAAAGTCCTCACAGAGGTAAGGTCTCAGAAATGTTACGTACTGCACAGACGACACGAGGTACATATAACCCTGGAAATTTCTCCCTAAGTGGCATTTTTACTATTAGTATGACAGAGAGTTTCTTTTAATGGAAACCACGTGCATTTGTTCTCAAGATTGCGAGGTAACAAGCGCGTAATACCAGAACGTGACAGGTTTTTGCATTGTATCAATCAGGTTTTAAACTTTCTCTAGAAAAAACATAGATATAACATCCATTTCCCTCTCTTCTCCATTCATCCCCCTTAAGGATCAGCGTCAAGAATATTGGGTAAAATAAATCATCCCTAACCAGGGAGAAGTTGAACATGGAGATCTCACCAGCTTCTTTCAGACCACTTATAGATTGTTTTCCCCCTCCACACAAAGCCCAAAACTTTTTTGCTAAAAATTATTTTAAATCTATTTTATTGCTTTTCAATGGACTTATCTAATTGCCTTTTTTTTTTTTTTTTAAAGTGGAACAAAACTGTTTCAGGATATATTTCCAAGCTTCTTAGTGCAACAAGAGAACAACAAAAAGGTGGTTTTAATTTTTAAAGGTTAAGACTACTCTAATGACTGGATTTCATGTTTTATTCAGTTTGCTGAAGCCTGAATTTACTAATTACAATTGTGAGTCCATCTCCTGGTATTATATTGACCAATTACTGTCTATCATCAAAAAACAGATCCAACAAGTGGAAAGACTGGAAAGAATGTAGCAGAGACAGGAAAACAGGGAGAGGAAAACACACAGGAAAATAAACAAAAAAAATCCATTTCAGGCATCTCTACATATTAACAACTTCAGATACATTCAGGAAGGTGAAGACTTCAAATAAACCCAATCCAACAGACCAAAACCCACCAGCATACTTACCGGTAAGGATCCCTTTCCACTACAGTTATTAGTTTTGCCTATGGCTCCTTCCTCACTTAAAGCTCCGTGTAAGCCCGCAGGAGCTCCACTTTCAGCAGTTTTTGTGGTTTCTTCTAACTGCAGAAGGTTCAGAGGAGAACTGCACCTGGACTGGAACAGAGGTGGCGAAGCCTGGTCTTGAGGTCCCACTGACTGTGGAGTGCAGGAACGGGACGGCTCATTCCGCGGCTCTGCGACAGGGACCTTCTCGCTCTCCGCCAGTGGATTATAATGGAATGGCTGTGTCGGGAAAAACGCCTGCTGCGGGAAAGGGCTGGGGGTAGCAAACGGCGGCTGCGTCGGAAATACTGTCTGCGAAGAGAAAGTGGAATGGGCAGGGAAGTTGGGTTGGCCGTGGTAAAGCGCTTGAGGTAAGTTATTGTTCATCTCTGGGTAGACATAGTTGGGGAGCACAAGAGCTACGACGGGGGTCATGAGGGGTGCAGAGAACTGGGATGGTTGCACAGGGCAAGTATTCGCAGAGTCTGGCAACTGATTAAAACCAGAGAGGGAAGTCTCAGGAGCTGGTGGCACAGTCCCTGCTGCTGGAAAAACAGGAAGTGGGTACGCAGGCATGACCGTGGGAAAAGACACTGCCGAGTAGCTGGCTTGTGAAGTGTCCGACGGTGACCAAGCAGTCGTATTTAAACCTTGAAGAGGGAACCGATGAGGGAATTTAGTTCCTGAAGTTGTACTGTCCGAAGACTCCTGTGGTTTAATGCGCTTTGATTTCCTGTTCTTTCCACTTTTCTTCCAAGGCTGATCCATTCCAGAAGCACCATTTCTTTGTCCACGGCCACCTGTATAAAAAAAAAACCAAAAAACAAAACCAACCAAACAAAAACCAAACCATCAGGAAGGAACCTACTTGCAGTCTGACAGACCCCTTTCATCCCTCCAAGTTGCCTAAAATCACAGCTCCGGACTTAGCCTACCCAGATGGAAGCAGCTGGCTTTTACCTCTAGCACAAGAGCTGAGCTACCTGGGCAATGAAAACCACCAGGGAAGAAGAGAGCAGCGGTGGATGAGTCCAGGCTCAAACGTGTGTCACTCAAACAGCACAAAGTTGCAAAACAGTAGCTTCCAGAGGAAAAAAAAAAAAAAACCCAAACCAAAATCTTCTAATTGCTCCAGTAATTACAATGGAAGCAGTACGGGATGTGACTGAAAGCTTTTCTAGAGAGTTAAGGTCATGTGGGACCTGAATAACTATTATAAATAAAAAATGAATGATAAGAATCTGCAAAAAAATGCTTAGCAGTGTCTGACTTCTGTTCCAAGTCAAGTCAGGACCAAAATGGGAACAAAGTCAGATCAGTATCAAGCACTCCTTAAAATGCTCCCGGTCCTAACAAACAAAATTATCTCACTATTACAGCTAGTCCGAGCCATTTCCATCCCACTGATCACATTAACAAGCTCAAGGTAACCAAACAATCAATCAGATTGTTTCACCAATTTCACAATGGTGAAATGGGGGAAACTGGATGTAAAGGAAAGAGGCTGAAAACAAAACCAAGCCACAAATCTGAAATGAAAGACAGAAGGAAAAGAAAAGCAAGCAAATACAAGCATAGATACAGTAAAGCAAACATGTAAAGCATGAGTTCTGTCCCTTGAAAGTAGATGTGGCTTAGTAACAGTATAGTGAACAGATAAAAATCCAAACATTAGTTACCCAAAATGTCGGTTACTCCATAAAAACCATATTCTACCTACAATCTGCAAGCAAGACTTATCCTGAGGACTTTAGAAAGAGTACGCAACTGTCACTATGCAGTGTCTCCCAATACAGCTAAAAGTGGAACTGCCCTCTTAACCGGATTTACTTCCTAATAATTACAAGTTTTATCATAAAAACGATAGCCGTACCGCGTTCACCAGGCCGTCCTTTTGGTTTATCTTGTAAGTAGTGATTGCAGTGGGACTGAAAAATATTAAATCTCTTGATTTCTTTAAACCTATTCAAAAAGCTCTGCTCCTCTTTTTGCGTATGCACGGCAAGGACTTCCTTTGTAAGCCCCAGTTTTTTAAATGGCTCCTTCTCTTGATTCACATGCGCAGAGCTGGATGGAGGGGCAAGAAGCTGCCCATCTAAGAGTTCTGCTCCACCTGGACCATCTTCTATCATTTCTACAGAAATGGGAGGAAAAAAATAAGTTAAGATGAAGTAAAAAAAGGTCTGCATATGCATTTTAAGCTATTACAATTCTGTAATTATTTTGCTGTAAGTCTCTATTCATTTTGTTTCCATAGGAACATTTTTGCTGTAAGTCTCAAGCAGATACTAGCTGTTCACATGTCTGAAGTTTAAACTTGCTAGGAATTGTCACTTTATTAGCCCAAGGCATACCTAATTCAGGTTGGGGTTTTTTGTCTCCAACATGAACAATGGTGCTACTGTAGCTGCATTGACTTGTGAGCGAGACAACACTTTCAGGCTTGCCAGGTAAAGCCAAAGATGTTAAGTGAGCACCAACCACTGGGGGACCATTTGATTTACCAGATGCCTTCAGCACTGCAGGATCTAGTAAAAGAAATGAAGTTGTAGTTTACTGAACATGAACAAGAGCAAATGCAAGTCACATGCTGCTAGGGCTGCAAAACAGCAGAAGTTAAACTGCTGACAAGACACAAAATTAACCTTTTACTTTGTGCATTGCACCAAGAATATTGTAGGAATAAAACAACTTCTGAACAACCAAACCCAGACTTATACTTTCACATACCAGTCTAACAAAATCTTTCCAATGAAGAACTTTATCCCCTTTCTTGGTCTTCACTATCCTTCCAAAGAAATATGACTTTGGAACAAAGCTTCCAGCCTTTTCCAGCCTAAGATTATGTCTCACCCAGCTCCCATTCTGTTGTACACTAATCTCTATCATTAGCTCATTATCCCAACAGCTTTACCCTGAGCATCCGCCTATTTTAAATTCTCTCACCTGAAAGCTATATCCAACAATCCAGTAGAGGTCACACCAGTGCCTCATAAAGTAGCAGCAAAACATTCCTTCTCTAGTAGGAATACTTGGTAAAACACATCGTTAAAGTTTACCTTTCTTCTGACCAGAATACGCTGTTGGCTTTGTCCTTCTCAGTCACCAGCGCACCAAAAGTTAGTGAACTCACAGCTTCTCCTGTCACCTAGAACTGCACAGGCTCCAAACGACAGCAGAAATCGTGTTCACGTGATGCTAATTCTACCACTTCTTTCCTCTCTAGTTCTCAAGGCATTTCAATTCCTTCCTCAGGACACTTTGTTCCTATGTGCACTGGTACCTTCTAATCTGATTTTAAAAGCTGCATTAGCACTTCTTTGAGTTCATCAAAAGGAGATACAGGCTAGATCATTCTCCAGAAAAGTTTTTGAGAAACACTACTAGACACTTTCCCCCTTCAGCCTTATAAAATGACAAGCTGAACCAGCAAGAATCTCATGTATAGCTCTCTACCAACCCCATAATTTTTGTACTAAAGAAACAGTTAGGTCCTTCACATTAACTCCACATCCAGACAGGGACTGTATCAAATACTGTATCTAATTCCTAACAAATTAAGTTGATGTTTTTGCCTGCAGCTATGTTCAGTAACCCCCATCTTTTATTTCCATGGCTATGCATTCCTTTCAAATTGGTTCTTGTGCCTCACACAACACTGAAAGTAGTTGATGGTGCATTTTACCCTCCTGTTACTTTTTTTTTTTCTTCTTAATGTCCACAGAAAGAAACAGAAGTGCAAAATGTGTATTTTTGTTGTAATTAATTAGCAGTCAAGTTCTTCAGCTGGTTGTTCTTAAAAGTCCCAACTGCAAAATGTTTTATAATGATTCAAGTCCTAAAACTCAAAAGCCTGCTGTATTTTGTACAGTATAAATAAGCTACAATATAAACGACATTAGAAATACTGCATCTGCGATCCAGATAGTTAATCAACTCTTCGATATTTTGATTGTAGGGAAGATTTTAATGAGAAAAGTTAGGTCACCAACACCTAACACTGAGAAAACAGCTATGAGGTCATGCCTAAGCCACACGTGTCACTATTCTGCAAAGAAGTAACATCCGACCAGCTGCTAGCAAAAAATCAATCAAAAAAAGAAGAAAAAGAAAAAGAGAGCTGTGCTGTAGATACCTCCCAAGGGCTGTATGGCGTTATCAGCTGGTTTTTGCTCATGAACTCCAGAACTCAGTGATGCAACACTTGATGAAGGTTCACACTTTCTTTTTGCCGTACCAGGCACATTACAACTCTCCAAGTACCTACGACACAACAATTCAGCAGTATTAGACGCACAAGTCTTAAGTCTAGAGGTCAAAAGTAACTTACACACTGGTTGCTCACCTGATGACACTGTCCAAACAGCTAATCTGTTGGTAAGAATATACAGGCTGTTCTTTCCAAGCCAACTCTTCCGTAGTCACATTTTTTGGAGCAGCTGTGACTGCAGTATCCTTTCCCACTACGTCCTTCACCTGACCGCCAGGACCACTTTGCTTTTCTGTGAAAAGAGACACTGCTATTATGTGGTCATGGTGTTAAATCCTTGCAAACTCCTCTAAAAGCCATGGTCAAGTTCCCATTTATACCTATTTCTTGAGGTCACAAGTTGACCACTGCAAAGCAAGCAAGAGGTTTGCGCACTAACAGATGAACACTGTAAATGTTTCCCTGTCCTTACGGATTCTCAGGGGTGTGAAGTTTAGTTAGTCTGATGCATGTGCATCCAAAGGAAAGAGATATTAGGGCTATTAGAGAATAATTATCATTAGAGTTGAAACACAATCAGGATGAGGACAACTCTAGTGCCTATAAACTGTACAAAATTATTAGAAGAATAACTTAATTTATGAAGAATTTAAATAGCATTGGTAAGTTTTTCATTTATCAATTTAAAAATATCTGAGGTTATAACATAAACAACATTCATGACATTTTTCTCCACCTAACAGAAAAGAAGCTGTTTGACTTGTATGAAAACATGAGCTACAATTAAAGCACTTGAAAACAAGAGCTTCAGGACATGCCTTAACTGTGTGTTACACACCATTATCAATTCAGACGTAGCTGAACAGAATATTTTCCCGAACATAGTGAAAAGACACAGGATAATATAATTTTAATTGATAAAAATGCTGTCATGCATTGATTAGAACCAAGCTAGAAAAAGTCCTGCTGTCATATCACACAAGGCACCAGCACAAGAGACTAACACTTAATTAACTTGCTAATGTCTTACCTGTAAAAGGCTCTCTCTTATATTCCAGTTTTGCTTTGCTGTCAGTGAAAATACGCTGACCTTTGTTTTTGACCTTACGGGCATCTTGACAAACCTCCTGAAAGCAGGTCATTAAAAAGACTTACTACAAAATTTTGACATAAAACATCATGCATAGCGATTGCTCAGACAACTAATCGAACCTTAGGTACAATTAGTCTGGTGTATAGAATTTTATTGCGCAGCAACACGTTTTTGGGAATTGGAAAGAGAAGAAATTTAAAGTATGTACACAATTACTCCACATTTTGTTTAATCTGGTTGAATTACTTTGGTAGGAAAACGTAAAGATACATTAAAAAGATGACTTCAGAAAGAAAATCTAACAACAAAACAGTATCACTTGGTAAATAGAATATTGCTGTAAAGATTGACAGCTTGTGCTAGAAATTTAACCAAGCATTGACAGAATGTTATAGAAGTAGCTGTCTTCACTAGCTGTGGAAATAATCAAGGAAAGATATTTCCCTCAGAAACAAGAACTCCTTCTACACTCCTTTTCTGCATAGTTCTGAAATGTTCTAACTAATCTGTTAAAGAAGAAACAGCAGAGATTTCATCTGCTTAAGTCACTAGCGTTTAAGGACTGGAAGGCAGGAAGGTGACCACCTTGGCAAGACCAGCCGGCTGCCGCGCCTGATCACCGAAGCCAAAATTGGATTTGGGAGAATTTGGGCAGGACAACAAGGAAGTCAAAATAACTGGAGTCGTTAAAAGGTGCAGTTCCTTTGACTGCACTCAGGACGTTACTGTCTGTCTGATTTACTTTGCCCACAGAATAGTTCTGTTAAGCCCTGGGAAAAATTAATTGCCGCTGTTTTGTTCTAATGGACTAATGGAATTAAAATATTACATCTCACTATCAACTAGATGTAGTAATGGCCCAATCTACAGTAAAGGTAAGATATAGGCTCAAAAGTGTTTTTATTTTATCCCATTTAATTCTGTATTATATAGTGTATTTTTACAACATAAAAAGTGATCAAGGTCAAGCTATCACTTGCATTACACAGGTATTATTACATTTTATCTTCTGAGTTTCATCTGGGAAAACATTAACTACAGCCTTTCCACTCCCAAAAAGAAACTGCTTTCAGATATCCAGTATTCCCAGCAACACAGCATATAGCATATAAAGGACACTCGAATAAGTTCACACACTTTACAGGTTTAAATTCTTTATATACAACAACTTGCACACTTATAACTGCTCTTCAGTACCCTGAGACTTCATCTACACCACAAATGTTTATTCCTCCAGAAAGGCTTTTTTCCCACATTAAACAAAAAAGGAAGATTTCTTCTTTATACTTTCTTCCATCCCTAATTTGAAAGTTTTCTGCTAAAAGTAAAAAACCAAAACACCTACTCACTTTTACTAGTTTGTTTTGTGCCACATACTTGAAAAACAAAACCCAAACCTACTGGTTTATCCTTGTGAGTGTCTTCATTATTATTTCCTGCGCTGTCACTGGAGGATGCCACACTCATTAGGTGCTCGTGTGACCCATTGCTACCTAGACTTCCATAGCCACTGGATCCGCTGTTGTGTACAGGCTGTTAACAACAACAAAAAAATATATACACGCACCTCAACACACCAGTTTTAAATCAGAACTAAGTTATTACCATTAATTCCACGGTAGGAAAAGGTACAGGCTGTTAACAACAACAAAAAAATATAAAACTAGTGTCTTGAGGTACGTTTATAAATCAGAACTAAGTTATTGCCATTAATTCCACGGTAGGAAAAATATTTTTTTTTAGGTTTGTCTTAGGGTTTTGGGTTTGGTTTGGTGGTGGGTTTTTTTCCTGGGGCGGGGAGCACGGGGAGGGGGTTTGCTTGTTTGGTTTTGAGGCTTTTTGTGAGGATTCCATAGCTACATGAAATCCTTAAAATACCAACTGGAGCTTTAATATACTTCAGTATGGCTCGTCTGGTAATCATGAGTGTAAGTAATTTCCAGGATTGTAGCCAGAAATTCCAGTACAGTAGTCAAAGATAAATGCCCTTTCTCCAGTGGGAAATGAAAAGGGTAACACTAAAGCACATGCTGTACCTGTAATAATAGCCGGTAGATTTGCTCGGTGATTTCCTGAACACTGGGATGAAGAATTCTATCTTCTGTATAGTTGGGAGCAGCAAAGACATCTTCATTTAAGGGACCCCTGCATAAACCAAACATATTCCAACTCATCAGCAATGCAAGTACTTCAGTCACAGAGAGACCACACCTTCAATTTACCATCTATGTACCCCGAACAGAATATGATGCTTGTTCTATTGCATCTGCAGCCTTTGAATCTGATAAAATACACACCCTTAACTCACTTTGAGCATGACTTCCTTCTTCTAAAGCAACTCTTGACAGGATTGAGGAGGACTTGAACTTTTTGTTTTAAAGTAGTTACTACATCACAAAATGCAAATTCAAAAAGGAACCAATTTGTATGTGCGGATTTTTTCCCCTCTGAATATCCCTTATGTCTTTTTAAAGATCACTATGTAAATCCAGGGCAAAGGCAAATACATATAAAAAAAATAAATGAACCTTAAGTCACAGCAGTTTATTGACTTACGTCCTAACTTTGTGTCTTCCAATGATAAACGACACTTTGCGACTCCAGGGGTTGATGAAACTGGACCAGCTAGTGTCCATGGTTATATAATCTCCATTTCTAGTGCAAAACCTGATCGGTGAATAGTCAAAAGGCTGTCCTCCATACTGAAGTACTGTAATGAACGATTCAAAAAGAAGTTGCAGATTAATATTTGCACGATTCTACTTCATGATTCAGGATTTTTACAACAAATTGCAAAGGAGGAAGATGATCTCCGAAGGAACAAATACCAGCTACGTCTAGACATTTAGAAATGCCGGGCTACCAGAATAAGCAGACCTTCATAAACTTACTGGACTGTGTCAAGAAAGTCACCTTCAGAACCCAACAACTAGAGATGACTGAAGAAGCAGCTTTACATTTTCAAAGTTTAACAAATCAACATTGCCAGAAAGGCTCTTATTTTCTTCTCTATGAAATAAGAAGTGTGACATTTAAAGTGTGACAACTTCTATCATTGCATTCTCAAGAAATTTTTCTTTATGTATGAAATATTCATTTACAGTCAATTTGTTTGCAGCAGACGCATATGCTTCATATCAAACGTGAATTTGAGAGATTTCTCATTTTCACCTATTTGCATTAAGAATCAAGCTGCAGAGTAAAGGATTCAGTATTTGCTTGCACAAAAATTCATAGTCGATTAATTTTCACCTCTTATTTGCTGAAATCTTTGGAGTCATTATTAACACTTTTTTTAAATATTATATTTCCGCCACAGTAAGAGATTACATACTTTTTTTGTGAATTGCTAGCATTAATGGTCTGTCATTTGGGTGAAGATGCACCAAGACTGGTGTTCCTATTAAATCCTGAGGTAGGTATCCCAACAGAGGTACTGCTCTGGGGAAAGAAAGAAAAAAAATAAATAAAAATCAAGTGGAATAAATGTATATTTAACATCTAAAACTTTTCTTTTTAAAGTTTTCTTTGTGCTTGTTCCTGTAGAGAAAATTAATTTTAAAATTTAGCAACTAAATCACCATAGCACTCTTTGAACAAGAGGGTTTTGTTTGTTTGCGATGTGTTGGGGGGTTTTTTGGTAGCTTTTCCAAACAACGTGATCAGACCAAATCAAGGAGCCTGCTACAGCAGTTCTGTCTTTTCTGTGCTGCCTAGCTCTAGAGGATAAATACTTACCCTAATTTTAAAAGAGCATTAATAAAGTTTAATCTTGTAAAACTCTCATGAGAGTAAATAGTACTCCAATCTACGGGCTGCAAGCCAAGACTAAGGATCACAGGATTACTAGAGCTCAACTAGCAACAGGGTAGTTAACTAGGGCTCAAGAAAACTTTCTCACAGGAAGGTTAAGAGTTCAATTCCTAAAGGAGCTGCAAGGAAGCAAGGTTATTAATTAAAATAGAGAATTAAAAGTAACATTATCGAATTCCTGCACATTATCAATGGCCGCTTCCAACACCGTGAACAGTTGTTGACTCGCTGTGATGACTCGCTGATCACTTAAAGCACTTATATAAGGAGAAAGAGTGAAAGTCCACAAATGTCAGTTTGTACCTTATCCTGAAAGCAAAAGGCCGAAAATACACTTGGGAAAAAAAAAAATAATGCATTAAGTCAATATTACTCAGTAATGTTTGAGAAGTTGCCAGATGCCAGAAAGTCCTCTTGTAAACTCAAAGCACTGTCTCCCTTCCCCTCAGCCCTGTTCACTGACAGAGGCCCAGGAGTAAAAAGCTACTCAGGTATCTGAAGAGCTTTAAAGAAGAACTTGGCTGCAGGGGCTGTGTTGTGCTGGAACATAAAAACATTACAGGACAAATATCTTCAGCAGCGCACTTCCAATAATCCACTGGCATTTGATCAGTTCCCCAAAACATCAACGTGCCCTCTGGCAAAGAGGCTGAGATACTCAGGGGAAAATGAGGAGAGCAACTAATGCCTTATTATCGAAGCAATTAGTTAAATAACGAGTCTTAAAAGCTTGTGGATGATCTAAAGCAACAACTTTGCAAAGCTGAAACTGGCATGAAACTCGTACCAAATCATATCATCTTGACACATTGACATTTAAAAATGCTGCCAAGTCCAAGAAAAGTTACGTTGCTAGAAGAGTTTAAAATACCAGTCAATTAGGACTTAATCAAATAACGCTGTAAGAAGCGAAGAAAACACGAGTTTTTGTTCGGCATCGTTCCTATCCTTTGCCACCTGCTTTATGAAAGCCTGGCAAATTCTACATCTGCTTCTGCTGTGACAGAACACCTACCCTAAAAGGGATCAAATTTTAAAATGTTATTTATTAACCTAATTAAAGGAAGATGCATACTCCATCGCTTCTAGGCAAAAAAAAAAAAAACAACACCCTACGCATTTTTATATTCATATGACGATCACTGGAAAAGTCAGGGATCTAGAATTCAAAACGGATGAGCAGAAACTGAGCTTGGCTCACCTCTTCTGATGAAGAAGAGCTAAGGGATGATGCAGGAGCTTCCCAGAGCTACCGGGAAGAGGAGTTACAAAAGGGGGTTAAATTTTTTTGGTGATGCCAGACACTAAAACTATGGGCAGCGGTGCCTGACGGCAGTCTGGAAAGCTTATGTTAGATCTTGGGAAAAGCTGTTAACAAAGTGAGCAGTGCAACACAGGAACAGCGTGTTACACCCACAGATTGCGCAATCCCTGTCCTTGGAGGTTTTCAGGCGTGGTTCAGACAAGATCCCAGCTGACCTAATCTACAACTCTGCAACGGTTTCATTTCAAGCAAAAGGATGGAACAGGGACCCCCAGCAGTCCCTTCCAATCAGCATTTCTGCGCTTGTGTAACACTGTATTTGAGAATACTTAATTTACCATCTCCTAGGGATAATACCTCAGCATCATTATGTTTCCTCATAACAAATAACTCAAAATAATTCAGAGTTTAAGTTGTTAAACTCATTTTACATATGCAAATGCACATATGGCTTTTGAATGGCTGATGCAGAGAGGCAGCAAGTTTAGTTTGTCTTTTATAGAATGGTATTTAAAGTGTCAAAACAACATGATAAGAAGTCTCTTTATATTCTTTTTGCAAGTTAAATAGGAAACTGCTTTAAACTCCTTTACTAAGATCACTCTACTGAACTATACAGAACTCCTTACATCCATCATACACATCGAGCATCAAATACATTTCAAAGTCAAATACATACAGGAATGATTGATTTCATTTCAGGAAAATATTTATTTCTACTTAACATACTCTGTGCAGAGATCCACTTGCAGAGTTAGAACAAATAAACATTCTTCCAACCCATGAACACACACTGATTACAGAATTAACTTTTTTTTATGCCAGTCAGGCAACAGCTTCAGCGTTTATGAACAAATCTCACTTGACAGCAGGTGTTTGGTTGTATAATTTTAAATACCAGACTCTGCTTTCTCTAAGAACCTATTGGTTTGTGTATTCCACCTAAGCCTGGAGAGCTTAAGAGTAATACACTGCATAAGCATATCTTGATAAACATTTATCTGGCTGCCAACGCTCTCGGGAGTTAAATAATTAAAACCAACCACACAGATCACCAGAACAGAAATAAATGAAGTAAAGTCCTAATCTCAGATCAAGATGTAATCAACCCTCAGTGTGAGCATTCACAAATGGTATTTGAGAATAAATGGTATTTGAGAATAAACAGTAATACCAGACTGGCATGAAAGAATCTTCCAAAGTAGCCACAGAGAAGGGATTTATTGTACTCACTCCAAGCCCAAGAACAAGGGCAAAGCTCTCCACTTGGTAATCTCGCAACTTCTGTTAAGTGACTACTGGAAAGAAATGAGCTGAGGGTGCACGGAGGAAGGGAAGCTTTACATTGTGCCATTAACCTCTTGGAAAAGCTAAACCCACTCTGCAAAGTTGATGTTGGCTTGGAGCATGTGTGAGAATGAGGGAGAGAGAAAGAGGCCAGAACTACAGTAGACTAAGTAGTTCTTCTGTCAACTTAAGCTGTTTACGGAGCCTGAATAAATCATACCACGGAAAAAGAGTTTGTCAAGCACTACATTGTCTTCTATCCTGCAGGAACTCTTTACACTAAGCCATAATGTCTACACAAATTAGCCAAAAATAGCAAACTGGACTTTAAGGTACCTTAAAGTCCAAACTCATTCTGACTGATTAGCCATTGTCGTCTTCTAGAGTAACCTCCAATAGCTAACTCTTGCAATTCTCGTTTAATTAAAAAAAAAAGCGCACTGGAGGAATACTGATGTGCCTGACCTCTCTGCAGATAACTTGTCTCAGAAGTCAAACTGCAATTTATTTTTTACCTTATTGACTTCAGCTTAGCCAAACTTCCCAAGAACCTCTTTTCTCCCAACCCTTCTCTCTTTTGCTGCAGTTAAAGATTTTGCAAAGAACAGATTTTTTTTTCTTCAGAAACAAGAATATCCCAACCTAAATACCACAGAAATCCAAAGTTGTCCATTATACTGCTACTCTCTCTGCAGATATTCTCCCCATCTAGATCTACAAAGAAAATTTTAGCATTCCTAGAATGCTTAAAAACAAGAGGATGGGAGAATCTTGGAAGCCAGACGCTACTATTGCAGCCAATTTCATTTTCACTAAGGAGAAAAGAAAAAAAAAAAAAAAAAATCACAATAAAAGCCCACATACAGCACATCAGAAACCATCACAAAAATATAAATTAAGCAAAACAAGGGAAGAGGAGGAGAAAGAAAGGGAGAAATTCCTGTGTTTTCAACTCAGGAACAAGTGAATCCTCTTGTCAAGTCTTTCAAACACAGTATTCCAAAAGGCATCCGTGTCCTTAAAAGTTCTTGAGATCGTCTCCTCCTCAGCCAAGAACGCTCCTAACTCTGAAGGAGTAGCTTCCATTCTTCTCACAGACCTCACACTTTCATCACACAAGTATTCCTTGAAAGGCCTCAGGCAAAAGCAATCCAGAAAGACTGAAGGGAAGCTTGGTTTACATCTTAGTTCCTGAGCCTCATGTATGGCTTAAGATCACAGGCAGCATCTTCTGTTCTACACTGAAATGTGAATCCTTACTCTAATCAACAAACATGACTGTCAAAGCAATGCGAAGGCTTCAGGCAGCAGGATGTGAACAGTTTTTGTACACAAAACAACAGCAGCAAGAACTATGGAGACTAGTTGGAACTGAGAAGGGAGTATATTTTTAAAATATATATTTAATTATTT